TTATCCCCAGTCACAGTCCTTGTTCACAATCTTGGAGATCTTGTGAGAATCTTTGCTCCAGATTTAATATTTGCCCAATATTTTAATATTGTCAGGAATGGACACAAGAACACAGCACAATAGAGCACACTCGACTTCTCCTCAGGAGAAGCCTTAAAATAATCTGTTGCCTTAGACAAGAAAGCTGTGCCACGAGAAGCAGAACTGTGTTGCCTTGTCCTTCTCTGCTTTCAAATGCAACAAGAGATCCTGAACGAATCACAGCAATGTTCAGATAAAACTGGGCATTTACTTCCTTGTGGTTTGTTAGAGCTTGCAAATTGTCATGTTCACTTGCAATTAGTCACTGCTCTTGACAGAAATTTCCTGTGACAAGCTTTGAAGCATTGACGTTAGAAACTTCCATCAAGTGCAAGGATTATTACATTATTACACATTTATATCACTTTAAAATTAAACTAATTTAACCACTGGTTCCAAGGCAATTATATTCTTCCCGAAGGCCACAGCTATCCTTCCCAAGCTCTCCAAAAGATATCTTTCTAATGCAAACGCATTCTCCTAATTTAAAAATCACTGTCAATATTCCAGATACCTACATGTTCTGTGTCTAATAATTATTTCATTGTGCTCTCCTACTCAACATTGTTAACCTTTACAATAAGAAAGTCACTCCTCCTTCACGCTTCCGTGTGCCAGATTCCACTGATGTGCGTCAGAAGAAAATGAGCTACAGAGAAAAATACAGAGAAATTGCTGCAACGAACTGCATTCTTATTTACATTCAAAATGTAGCTACTCCAGGTCTTGATAAATTGTTGGGCTACGGCATTCGCCATGGGGGTTGGGGGGGAAGAGACATACAACTCCGTGTACTGCTGAGTACTCAAAATGATTTTTAATGTCAAGCGTTTGCAATGGCTTTCTACAATGCGAGTGGGAAATAAAAAATGCAGAGACTTCAAAACCTGATTAAGCCCCAGTATGCAGTTTTTCCTAAACGTGGAGGCAGCAGACTTCACATTAATTAATGGATATTTCTGTAACAGACAATTCTATCTGCAGCTATAAAACTCAATGGCTGATACATACTGAAAGTAAGAGCGTTATCCATCACTGAAGCTTCTGCTTCAATGGCATAATCACACCTTTGTTCAAAGGTTTTTCCTGATTGCCAAGGGGACAAAATGGTACAGCCAAGAATAAAGAGAATCGGGTCAGAAGGTATGGGTTCAAGCCACAAATCTGGACACGAGTTTGCTGGTCTGAGCAGATACTCCAGTACTGAGGGAGCACAGTCTGACAGAGATGATGTCTTTTGATTAAATCCAGGATCTGGATGCCTCTTCAGGTAAAATTCAGTATTTCACAACATTATGTGAAGAATGAAAAAAGTTTCCCGTATCTTGGCCAAAGTCACCAGTTTGTGGGATCTTACTGGCACAAATTACTTTCCATATTTGTCCAGGAACACAGTCACTACACTTGCCACTAATTGCCAATGAAGCACTTTCAAATGCATCAAAATGATATCAAATGCAAGGACTATTTTATTGGTGCCCAGGGGTTACATAATTAACTTTGGTGCTAGAAGTCTGAACTGAGGATTTCCTCTTCTTAAAGGTTCACTATTGATTATGAAACCATTCAAGATTTGCAGATGTCTACACAGTTCTACAGTTTGTGTGCATTTGAGTCACTAGTCTGCTCTTCTCCCTGAATTACTAGCTCTGTAAATGACAGGAACAATGGGTGAAGATGGGAGAGCTAACAGAAACCACTGATAAGACAGTCACTAAACAACAAACATAAAAATAGCTACAGTTATGCAAGCCCTGCATCAGGTCATAACCACAGCATCATTTTCAGTTAGAACAAAGATATCATTAAATCTAAGATGCTTGTTGTTCTGATCCAATTCCCAAACATTGGTGCCCTCAGCAATTTTTGTTTATATTCGTCGCCTCTGGAATCTGCATTAACTACTTAAACACAGCAAAATAACGAGTCAGGACAAGGGTAGTAGACTGTAATATAGTTCCTATCGGTCTTTTATGAAATATCATGGTGTTCTTTTTTCTGAACAAATGTATGCCATGCTTAAGAGTATCCAAAACAGATAGAGTTCCATGCATGCCATATACACATGGAAATTCCCATGTATTGGAATGAAATGCACCCTCATCCCCATCCCTACTTCATTCTGAAGAGTATTAGGCACAGGGTGGCAAGAACCAACACTTGGGGACCCCAGAATGAGCTTTGGGGTACTGCTGGAGCTTAACCAGCTAGAAACTGAAAATGCTATCTGGCAAGTTTCCTGCTACTTGTCCAGCTAGGACCACTCTAAGCATTAGGGTTTCGGCTTGCTGAACTTCTTTGGCCCAAAGCCTAATACTTTAAGCCTGTATATATTGTTAGATATAAATGTTATATGGCAAGAGGTTAAGCAATGACATTTTATTAATTAATTCCACTTTACAGTTTATCCTATGAAGCGCATTGAGATGTTCTAACGTGAACCTCATTATATCAAACACAAGGATTATTATAAATATAATTTCAATAAAGTACATCACATACACAGATATGCATTTTAAGAGCTGTTTGATGTTTAAAACTATAGCCCCCAACTCAGAGGACAAATAGGAGTGCAAAGAACTACTCCACGTTTTAAAATCTTTTTCCCTACTGAAAACTGAAATCATTTAACAACATGGATTTATATATCGACTTCCCGCAGGACAGCAACTCATTCGATTGTATTCAGACCACTGCAAAACTTTTGACATCTATTCCATTCATTGGGCAATTTACTTTCTTTTACACCTTCTTTGCAGAAAGATTTTCCTCTGGTAATTTCCAACTTTGAAGCATACCCACATCAAGACATTTGTTCAGAACAAGAAATAGTCCCATATCTATTTGTCCCGACTCTTATTATGTTTTCTAAAGCACAATGAGCACATGTTCCCTTTACTGTCACGTCATCTCTGCTCAACTGTACAAGGTCATTCAAAGGTAATTTCTGCTTGACTGACAGGAGTCACTGCTGCCTGCAATCACAGGAAACGCATGTTTATCATTTCACCTTGGATACGCAGCATCACAAATGACAGGCATCTTCGGACTTCATAGCCAACGTGCAGGACAGAACAAGAGGAAAACATGACCACAGAATAATTTTAGGTAATGTACACACACACACAGACAAACACAGCTAAAGTGAAAGTATTCTACAAAGCTCCAAATAATGTAGTGATCGCTATTGTTATAATCCTTTCGCGATAATAATAGAAAAAGATTTCTTGGGTCAAATCCTGAATTAGGATCAGATATGCTCCCATGGGTAGCTTGGAAAACACAATACTGTCAAGTGACACTATCAACACTTGCATCATTATACACTGCTATCTCCAGGAGACTGACTATAACATGTGACTGCTGCAGGATGCACTGACTGGAGTACATTAAAATTGTTACAACAGCATTTTAGGGGATTTTTTTTTGGCTTCTGAGTTAAAAACACATTCTTTCTTAAAAAAAAACATTTCAACAAGTACATAGTTATTGCTCTGACATTGTTTTCCTCAATTCACAAGTTTGACAACAAAACAAACTTTTTGTATTACTCAGACATGCTGGAAAAAAGTGGAGGCTGAATAAAAGAAAAGAAGTTTTCTAAATTAAATTTGTACGAGGACAAACTATTGAGTATCATCCAGTGAGCACAAGTAATCCCCTGAGACAGATGGTTCATTTTTGCAAAGTGTTACTATATATAAATAAGGTTATCCAGCTTATTCAGAGAATTCTATTTATAAGTTGCCCAGGACCACAGGGAAAGTACAGTAAATCAAACACCTTGCGAAAGATGTGAATGCAGTTTGACGTCGCTTTGTGAAAGAAACATATGTACAGTGATAAGCTAATTATTCTTGTTCCCAATCAAGGTCACTTCTCCCATTTATCTGCAGGAAAAGGAATCCTCCTGATACTGTGCCACACACAAAGCACAGTGCCTGCTGCTGTTGCTCTTGATGCTACGCCATTGAAATATGATCATTTTAAAGATTTTTGAGGTCAGAATGTCCAACAATTTAGTAACTTTACTCTGACAATATTTTTGCTTTTTAATTGAAATGAAGGTTACCAGAAAAGGCAAATGTTGTCAGAATATCAGAATGCCTTTAGCTTGGTTTTATGATTAACTTCACATTTAAATACTTTGCAGGAAGATAGCCACAAATTATCACTAGACATTTTATAAGGTTTAAAATTTGATATTGGTCAAAATGGAATTTTCAGTTAATAACACTGTCAATTTCAAGAACAAAATACATATGATGCACCTACTTTAGCAGAAAGACCTCAGCATTTCAGCACCTTAGAATAAGTAGTGGTAATTCACAAAAGATTGAACAATGTACTTCGCATTTCACAGAGGAAAGAGGCAGATTCAAAATCCCAAACATAACTATACTATATTGTGTGTCAGTCTGACTCCGTTGGTCACACTCCAGCCTCTGTATCAGAAGGGTGTGGGTTCAAGCCCTACGTCGGAACTTGGAACTCATATAGTCTAAGGTGACACTCCATTGCAGATGGGACATTAAACCGAGACCCTGTCTGCTTGGGTGTTAAAGATCCCATGACACTATTTGAAAAGAGAAGGCAATTTCTCCCAGAGTGCTGGAGAACAATTCCCCCGAATGAAATTCGTCATTCACTTCATGACTGTTTGTGGGACATTACTGTGCACCAATTGGCTCCTGCGTCCGCCCACAAAAACACACAGGGTATCTTGTCAAGCCCTTAGGGACTTCATCCCGAAACAAAAGGCACTAAACCAAATGTAAGGATTGATATTATTATACTTTAACCCACTGCATCACTCAATTATCAACTCAAACAACTCCTTTTCACTTCGGACTGAATATTGGTCATTTAAATGCTGTTCCACTTCAACAAAATAATAGCTGCAAAAGAACATTACTTACATGTCTAACATCTCCACACGAATTTGTGAATTGTCTTGCCAAACCAAAGTCCAGCATAAAACACTTTCTACAGGTGTTAGGAAGACGACCCATTGCAAAGTTTGACTAAAAATAAGAGAGAAAATACATTCCTCATTTTAGTGAATAAACAGTTAGAAATAATTCTATAAAATGCATTTATGAATGATAGCAGGAATTTAATTGCATGGCAGTAATCTAAATGAGGAACTCAGCGACAAACAGAATGGGCACCGACAAAGGCTGAAGTGTCAGATTGCATTACAGCAATGGAATCCTTTGCTGCAATGCAGCCCAACAAACGTAAATTGATATCATCCTTGTGACATACATATCATTTTTTTCCCAGTTAACAGATGGCAGCTCAAGCTAATGGCAACTAAATGTACACCACTTTGTATTAAATAAGCTTGCAACATTAATAGGAGAATATTGGTAGGGAAATTCTGCGGAGCCTAATGCTTTACCATTTTGTGATGTTTTGTAATTCTGCCCTTACTTGAATCACACTTGAGAAGTTAGGAAACAATACATTTGATTAGCTTCAGAGTGCAAGGTTTACACAAGCATGAATGTGATGCTAAGAAAGAGGCAAAGTCAACTTTCTACAAATTATTTACAGGTTTGATGTCTCTGTGAAGAAATCCCACAGTGTGAATACTTTCAATTGCTTCGAGAATCTGTTTCCCCAGTCGCAGAGTTGTGCTGATGCTAAATGTTCCTCTTGATTGGCTGCGACGTAGATCAGCAAGGTTTCGACCCTGTGCAAAGAAAATAGAAATCTTCTTAGTCATAAAACACAGCCTTGATATTCATGATGTAAATAGAATCTTACAGCTACATGTAAAAAATGATACAAATACTTTGGACCAGCTTTACAATAATAATCCTTGCATTTGATGGAGCGCCTTATCACATTGTTGAGATGTCTCAAAGCACTTCAGAGTATATTGTAAAGTGAATTGACTATGTTTTGTGGACAAATATATTGAACCTTGAACTCAGTCTGATCTTCTGCAATACCACTCTAAACCAAACTCTGCTAAACTAAGCAAAGCTGCTTTCGAACACCCCTTGTTCCTCCACATACACAGATAAGGTACTGACCTAGAAGTTAAGACTAAAAGACGATCCTTGCATTTGATATAGCACCTTATGTTACTGAAAGGCCTCAAAGCACTTCACAGGATTTACTGAAAAGTGACTATGTATATCTATGTGAACACAGAAGCAAATTTGTGCATTACAATGCCCCACAACGAACCACAAAGTGAGCAAGATTTGAGGTCAGAGGAGATAAAAGAAAGCTCACATTGCAAATGAATACAATTGAAAATATTAAGCAGAAACTTTTGTTACATTATATTGAAGTTCTACTTAATGAACACTGTTATGAAATTCAAACCATCTTTCTCAGATAAGGTTTAAGATACTGATGGTCACACCTAGGTAGCGAAGTGATAATATAAAATAGAAATAGGATCCCCTGTATATTCCGTTTGCTTGTGCAGATTAAGGAATATCGACTTTGGAACACTTGGCTTTTAAAAATATATATTTTAGCTGTAAACTACTTGCCACCATAGGACTGGAGTGAAGATAACAGCACCAGCATTGGCCAACAGTTGTCTGAAAGGAGCCATGATTTAATTAGATGTCACTTTTTCCTCCCATGAGAGGAAATGTCAAACTACAGAATTATGCAAAAAAATCTGAGGGAACTCAGTCAAGCATGGGAAGTAGATTTTGACGATAGGCAGCCAAGGATGCAATAATAATAAATAATTTTAGCTGCAAACTATTATGTAAAAACTATTAAACAAAAATATGCAATGTCACATATTGTGGCGTCAATCAAGAAACAAATGTGTAGCTTATTTGAGTTACTGGCTAGGCTCAATTTGCTTTGAAACATAATCTTTGCCGTCTCACAAAGAAGCATGGTCTTCATCAGGGTGTTCCAACCAGTAGCAGGAGACAGAGACAGACAGGACACACAGACAGAGACAGACAGACAGACAGACAGACACACACACACACACACACAAATACAGACACAGACAGACAGATATACAGACAGATACATTTATATGAATTTTTAGAATGCATATTTAAAGTTTGTATTGTAATTGAAACATAGCGAAATTAAGTAATATAGTTACAATTTAAAACATAGTATTTCTATATGATTCTTGTGGGTTAAGTTTCTGGAAGCGAAACAAAAATCTCTACGTCAGATTGGCACTTTGTGTAGATATTTGTCCATGTCTAAATGTTTACTCAATACTTTCTAAGAACTTCTAAAGAATTACAATTAAGCAGATGTCTAGATTATAACAAAATCTTTGCAAAAGCTATTTTAGTATGGATTTTCTGTGCAGATAACAACTGGGCTGTTTGGGGTGGACATGGAAAGCCCCCAAGAACAGAGCAGAAGCATCGCCAGGATAAGGATTTTGCAGACTGATTTATTCAGATTTACACAGTAAGGATTATATAGGCTGAATCCTGGGATTAATTTACCAATGCAGCATTTTTGGTCAAACATGCTGCACCACCGTTGATAGATAGATAAAGATGGTACAAATGTTGGAGAGCAATAAATCCTTTATAACAATCTTAGCCTAAAAATACTGTCAACACCTTACAGATAAATGGAGTGTGTTGAGACTTGACATGTTGTCATGTCAAATATATATCAAATGTAAGGATTATTATTACTAAGGCTGTTCAAGATGCTGTTTATCGTAAAACTACAGTGGCCTACATTTGGCCACTACTATATTTATTACTGAAAGCAGGTGAATGTCAACAGAAGTTTGTGATTTGCAAACATCTGGAAATAGTTTCTTCAGTATGAAGCCATGCTATTAGTTCAATATTATTTTAGTGTCAGCTCATTAGACTAGGAGCTCAAATCCAGAAGTACTACTGACTGAGCAAAAGTTAAACTTGACACAAATTAAATAGGTTTTAGTGTTAGCCTGGCTTAGTTAGTAGCACTATCGTCTCAGAGTGAGAAGGTTGTGTTCAAGCTGCATGTCGCTCCAATGGAGAGTGGTTATGTTGCATTGTCAGAAGTTCTGTCCTTCTGATGCGACATTAAACCAAGTTCCGTCTGCCTGTAAGGATTCCATGGCACTACTCAAAATGAGAAAGAAATTTCTTCCAGTGTCTTGGCAATGCCCAAAAATAATAATTGGTCGTTTGTTTCATGATCATTTGTGAGACACTGTTGGGTACAATTAGGCTGCTGCCCTCGCTTACAAATAACCAGTCACTCTTCTGAGGTTCCGAGACATTCGCCCAACGTGAAAGGCGCCATACCAAATGCAGGAAATATTTATTTAGGCAAATTTAAATTTAAAAAAGCAAATCAAGAAGAGTGAGAAAGGCAGTCCAGAGAATGCTGCAAACATAAAATTAGAAAGACAAAAAGTTAAAGTAAAATTAAGAATCTAAATACATTTTAACAATCAGAGTAACATTTGATCTCAATGTTTTGATCACAAACGTATCTACAGATGCTATTAGATGGTAGAGTGCAGAATAAGCCTCACATAAGTCATATCAGTTGGGACCATATATTTAAGATGACTTGTGCAAAATATGAGTTATGTCAAACTTGCATAAGTCATATATGACTTGTGTAAAGTTATGTACAAGACTTACACGTAACAAATACAATACACAAATACTGAACTGGCTGGTGACCTGGTTGCCAGCAAGTTTGATCATGGTAATTGTGGTAGCGGCATTACAAGTTGCGCAATTGTTAATACAACTAGTGCAGATAATGTTAAGTGAATTTAAAAGGAAAACTCAACGGGACTTGGGCAGATGTATGACTGAGGAGATTATATGATTCATACAGATCAGACTTATGTGAGTTTTACTGCAGTTGCCTATTGCTGCTTTCATTCATAGTCTTATAGAATAAAAAGAAATACTTGAAAAAGATTCTTTTCCCTGATCCTTCTCTAAGCTGGATTGGAAACAGACTCCAAAACCAAACAGTGAGCAGAACATTTAATTGTGGGTAAATATGTTAAAATAATCTTACCTGCAACTGCATAACAACATAGTTAAATCGGTCGTTCCTTCCACAGCCAATAAATCTGCAAACATGATCTCTCCCTGTTGTAAAGAAAGCCAAATTTGTATTAATACTAGAGTAAAGTGCTTCTCTACTTAGCGAAGCTGATATTGGTGTAAACCAAACACAATAGCTAACCACCCACTCTCCATCCAGAATCCAATCAATAGCACACACACAAACATACACACACAATAAAATTCATTTTAAGAAAATGGCAACATCTGCATTAAAAATGCAACCCTACAATAGAACAATTAGAAACCTCTTTAACAACTAGAAGCTGAGAGTATCTCGTCTCAATAATACTTCAGTATGTAATTGCTATTGCACGGTTCTTAAGAGTACTATTCAAATTAATAGCTTTAATAGGGAACACAAAATTCAGGACATCTTTAATTACAGATGAGAAACTGGTCGTCTCTCAATACAGGTTACCTGCGTGTGCTCAAAGGCAATATAGTAGAAGACTGTATTTTTAGAATCAGTTTAGAACTCCTTAGGACATTACAACAATATTCAAATTCGGCTTGAATTTTTGAGACGAGATACTATCAACAGTCTCCAGTAAAGAGGTTTTGAGTTGCTGCACTGCATGTTTAAATTCTGAACCCTGTTAAGACAGCTTAGTGAGATTTCCATGTGATTTGAGATCCAGTAAAGCACCAGTAGTAAGTGTGGAGCATCTTCCAGACCGACAGAACTAAAGCAACACCAACTTGTACTTATACAGCGCCCATCACGCAGGATGGCGTCTCAGAGAGCTCAAACCATGTTTAACGTGAAGAATCATCTGGCAGCATTCATCATAAAGACAGACATACTGGCAGTTTCATTGTCCTCACCTTCACTGTGCAAGCAGACAAGACTTCCTGCTCCATATCAACAACCAATTGGCCCAGGGTTAACATTCACTACACAGACAACAAAAATTTACATTTATACATGCCAAGAGGTCATTCAAGCCAACTAAGTATACGCTGCTATTATACTGTACACCACATGAGCCTCCACCCCTCTTATTCTCTTCCCATTTGAATGATCACAGTCTTCCCTATTGAAATATTGAGTTTCACATGAAACTGTATACACGTCACAGACCTTTTCTTATTGATTTTGGAAAGGGCAGGTAAATTAATTCTGCGATATTAATCTGTTTAATATGTTGGACATATGACATCCAGGATGTCAAGAATGCTTTTAGTTGATATGAATTGAAGAAGATTGGAGTCCTAACACTGTAGTTTATCAAGGCCTGTCGCAGTAATGTGCATGCCACCCTCTCCATTAGAAATCATTACAGATACTAATTGGATAGAGAACACTGCCATTTTAGATTACAACCAATTATGAAATTATAATTTAAGGAACATCTGATGCCAATTTTATGCAAACCATTCTCCAAGCATCCTTGTACATTCCATTTCAAACTATTCCAATCATCCAAATTGTAATCTTCACAACCGTTTCCCTACATTACAATAATTTGTCTGCTGTAAAAACCAAAGAGTTCACACCATCTTTTTTAAAAAAAGCACCCCCACCATTCATTCCCTGCACAACAGCAACACTTTGGAAACCTTTGACACCTCCTAACACTTCCACTTGAGAGGCAATGAGGCCAAGACAAGCAACGGAACAACTGTGCTAAACAGTATTCAATTCTACTGCACGAAAACTCCTCCTGTGTGGTTTATTTCACTCCAGTTTGTAGTGATTGTAAATAGTCATGAATACATCACTGTCCCTCCACGTGCCTAGTGATGGCATTCACTGACGTGCTTGTTCCCCCTGTGGACTTGCGTGAAAGAACATTTTGGCCATGGCTTCACAATGCTCGTTTTGTCAAGAAAGATACAAACAAGTGAGTTTTGAACAAATTGGATAAGCCACGAGTCATCAACACTGATATTTATATGATGGAAAAAAATTACATTTATTTAGCACCTTTAACATTGGGAGTTCTAAAGGCCCTGCACAAAACTGACTGGACCCAAGCTTGGAATAGCAGGGAGGGGAAAGGTGACCAAAAGCACAGGCAATGAGCTAGTTTTATGATGGGGAGGAAAAGCCAAAGGGACTCCAGAATGAAGCAAGCAAGAAATATTGACCTTTTCTGACAGCTAAGTCTATGTATAAATTCAATAATGTCCTATTACAGCTCTCTCCAGCTTTTAAATTCAGTAACATTTTCTCATTGCAAATCAAGCCTGAGACTGCAGGCATTTGGACAGTGAGAACAGTATCTTTCACTGGGAGTGCTCACTGCAGAATCAAAGAAAAGCAGTGAAGAACAACAAGTGAGTTTGCTAAACATTTAGAGAAAATATGTCTGTCTAAAAAGCTTAACACACAATACAGTGGAACCTTAATTATCTGCCAGAATGGAGGAGACTTCAACAATAATAACAAATGACATTTTTATAGCACCTTTCACATCGGGAGAACGTCCCAAGGTGCTGGCCAATTCGGTAGACAGCCATGAAATTTCAGATAAATTTTTTTTCTTCGATCAGTATCATTTTTAAAATCATAAAATTAAATAGGCACACGGAAAACAACAGTCTGAATTGAATAGATTGTCATCACTTCAACTATTCCTTTTCTTAAAAAAAATGCAATAACGTTCATGATGAGATGAGCAGCCAGGCTTCAGCACACCGTATCTATGTGAGACAAGGTTCAACTTTCACTTCCAGTAAATAATGAAGGATTGCAACAAGCACATCCACTGTAATTGCATCAATTTTGCACATGAAATCATGGTCAATCTGATAAAATACTATTTTGATTTACACCTTTCACATTGGGAGGACGTCTCAGGCCGCAGTGCTGGATGGGCACCCGAGCTAGGGGTGATGTACAATATTGCAGAGAAAGAAGTTCTCCCAATCCTCCAGGTAAAATTGGTCATTTACTTCATGGTTGTTTGAGACACTACTGTGTGCAAAATTGGCTGCCAGGTTTGCCTATAAAATACAGTCAATACACATTACAGTAAATCTTGCAAGGATTATTACTGTTTATTGTACTCAAATCTAGAGATAGAAAGTTTTAGGGGGAGCATTTCTAATGAACTAATGGTTGGACCCCAGCTAGAGTGCCGTGTCCAGTTCTGAGCACCACACTTTAGGAAGGATGTCAAGGCATTGGAGACGGTGCAAAGAAGATTACCAGGATGATACCAGGAATGAGGGACTTCAGTTAAGAGAGGCTAGAGAAGCTAGGATTATTCTCCTTGGAGCAGAGAAGGTTTAGAGGAGTCTTAATAGAAGTTTTCAAAATTCTGAGAAGATTCGTTAGGGTGAACAAGAAGAAACTATTTCCACTGGCGGGTGGGTCAGTAACCCGAGGACACCGATTTAAAATACTTGTTAAAAGGAACAGAGGGGGAAGGTGAGGAGAACGTTTCTCAGCTAATTCATAGCAATAAAAATTAAGCCATTACACGGTCGAAGAGGAGGTCTTGAAACTAGAATCTTGAAGGAGGCAAGGGAGGGGGCAAGGTGGAGGGCCTGCAGGATGGAGTCCAGGGCGTAGGGGCAGAGTGGCTGAAGGCCCACCTGCCAATGGTGGGGCTGGCGATGTAGGGGACGTGAAGCAGGCCGGAGCCCTCTGAGTGGAGTGAGCAGGCAGGTGTAGGGGTTTAGAAGGTCGCAGAGGCAGGGGGGAGCAAGTACACGGAGGGCTTTGAAAGTGAGGACCAGGATCTTGAACTGTATCCTCTGTGTGATGGGAAGCCAGTGGAGACGAACGAAGGTGGGGATGATAGGGTCGCAGAGCCTGGTGCGGGACAGGATATGGGCTGCAGGGTTCTGGATGATCTGCAGCCTATGGAGGGAGATGTTGGGAAGGCCAACAAGTAGAGATGAGTAGTCGAGCCAGGATGTTATGAATGCATGTGTAAGGGTCTCAGTGGCCTGAAGTGTGAGACAGTGGCGAAGCCGAGCAATGTTGTGGAGGAGGGGAAAGCCGGAGCGGGTCATGACACGGAATTGGATATGAAGGACAGTTGAGGTCCGTATTGGCTCCGTGAGATGTAGAGTGCATCCATGGAGGGAGATGCTGTCAGCGCCAGCCAAGTAAGAGGGCCTCGGTCTTGTTGACATTCAACTGCAGCTCTCATTCAGGACTTGATGTCCGACAGGCAGTCTGTGAGGACAGCAGTAGTCCTGGAATCGAGGATGGAGATAGAGTTGGGTGTCATCCCATCCGCATACATGTGGAAGTTGACCCCATGTCTGCAGATTATGTCACCAAGGGGGAGCATATAGATATTGAAAATAAGAGGGCCAAATTAAGTGACCACATTTTTTTGGGAGAGATTATCACCCCCGGAATGAGATTATCACCCACGGAATTGACAAACAACCGTGTTCCTACTTACTGCTGGGTAACTTGCCTAAGATTTCTCCCCACCCAGGAATCGAACCCGGGTCCTCTTGCTTGCAAGGCTCTAACCACAACTCTACGGGTCTACCTCCACCATGTCTTCCATCACTGGACACTGCTCAGATAGACTGCCTCCAGAACAACTTCACAAGGAGCTAAAAGGTTGAACTTAGCAAACCTCAAAACAGAAGGACAGAAGACCAAGAACAAAACTGTGCCAATTCAGTAAACCTACTCAAGAGAGAAAACAAGGCTGAGCGATGAACTGAATCTCACTGCAGTATAATTGGAGATGCCTTTTAAATCCAGGAGGATTGCAGATTCATGTAGCAGTTGGCACCAATAAATCTTCAATTGTAATCGTATTTATCGGACTTTCTGCAAGGAAAATGCCAGGAGACATCAGTCTACATTACAAATGTGATTATGCATAAACATTCACCGGCTATATAGACAGCAGTCTATAGAGACAGGCCTGCAGAAATTCAGACAATTTCAAATTAGAAAGTGGAAAATGTTTCAATCACTTTGTATTACTCAAGAGGTCTTCACTACATTAGACCCTCTTTCTCACACTCGGATCTTTTCAACACATTAAACTATCTGAAATCTGATTTTAAAAAAGGAGAAAATCTTTTCAATTCCTACA